GAGAGAGAGAGAGAGAGAGAGAGAAAGAGTGAAAGAGAACGATTTATTCCCACTTTAATTTATAATTTTAAAAAAAAAGGGGGGGAAGGGGAGAGAAGAGAAAAATAAGCGAGAAGAAAATACACATTGTACAATTCGTTTAGTCGTTGTAAGTATAAATAATGTATATGCGTAATAAAGAGAAAATCGATCGAGACAGCCAGAATAACGTACACTGAGGATGTCCTACGACGTGACAGAGACAGAGAAAAATTAAAGCAGTCAATGGGAACAAGAATTTCGTATGCGTGCATGTTCGATGATGAGCATGAAGGGTAGGAAGAAACGGGAACGAGAACACAGAAGACATATCGTACAGCTTTCCATCGAAAAAATTGAGATTAACGATGAAACGATAGAGACGAGTTGTATCGAACGCGAGAAAGGAAAGAAGAAAAGTAGAAAAAGAAGTTTAAAGAAAAACAGGAGAGAGGAGGAACGGACGTAAAGAGATTCTGCTGTTGCTTTCGTCAGTATGCAGTATTCTGGATTTTATTGTAATATTACGTATCTGTATGATGTATAAAGTAACGATTCTCCTTCTGCGTAATGGTTCGAGGCTGAGGATAGAACGAGGGTGGAAATAGAAACAGGTGGATCCACGTTTTGCTCTTAAAAACTGTACTCTCGGCGGTTTCGGTACTTGAAGAGAATTTCAAGTCGCTTCTTCTTTCGAAAATTCCACCGACAATCATTTGCCACAACACCTACGTGTATCCAGAAAGTTTCAAAAAAAATTCAATTATCTGTTTGAGATCGAAGCGGAGGAGTAGCTTCTTTTTTTCAACATTGACGCCTTAATATTTCTATGTTTCTAATGTTACAAACAATTAGTAAACGACTTTGCGGATTTCGTTACGAAAACTTTCTGGCTATATGTTGCACCGCAGCAAGATCCGAGAACAAAACGGACACCTTTTGACAATTGTCAAGGGAAATGTGTCATAGGGCTTCTATCCACGGTTGGCAATTAGAAGCTCGTGAGAGTGAAGAGAAGAGTCTGTATAGCTTCCTTGGTTGTTAAGCTCTTGAAACTGCAGAGACGAGAGAGAGAGAGAGAGAGAGCTTCCCGCTCCGTTCTCCAAATGTCTCTACCTTTCCCTATAATATAACGATGAAACACATGCGTCCGTATGCGTGCGTGTATTTAAGCGTAAAGTCGCAGAAATGGGATAGATGGAGACAGGGAAGAGACGCGGAAAGGATACCTGGATACCTTAGTATAAATAATTCGGTGTAATACAGTGATAGAAAATGGCTGACAGTGGTTTCTCACGAGTCGCTCGTGTAAATATTATCGAGAATTAGACGTTCTTTCGAGTCCTCTAGATGAATGTGTTCTTTCGATCGCTAGTCGTTAAGTTTTATCCTCG